GCTGTGAGCTTATAACCCGTAGACCTGTTGTCTCCCATGGCTAGATTTTACGGGAAGAGGGCCATCGACCACTTCCTAACCTCCGAAGAGGATGGACTAGGATACTGACAGGGCGCCCACATCTGACAGGAGAACGACTCGGGTCCTCAGCCAAAGCCTTCGATTAAATGTACACCCGAAAGGCAGCGGGTCTAGCACATGGTCAGTTCACTGACTCATGCGAATTGGTGTCCTGGATCTTAGCAGGGAGAAGGGCGAAACCCAACTCCCACCCAGCAGTCGCCACGAGGAGGCGCCCAGGACATGAGCAAATGGCACAACAGTAGCAGCAGTGGGTAGACCGTCTGTCAGGATCTAGCCACCACCATCCTCAGCGCACCATAGGCTCTCCCGCCAGATATATATATATATATATATATATATATATATATATATATATATATATATATATATATATATATAATGATAAAACCACTCACGTTGGTTCGACACATCGAAGGATGGCGAAGAAAATCTAACGGAGTTCTCAGCTAACTGTTCACAAGAACGTGGATCGAACATAATGAAGAAGCAAAAATAACGTGTTCAAAAAATACGGGTCACCAATCATTGTAGAGGACCGTTACCTAATAAGTTCGAGTGCGGAGGCAAAAGATAATCTTAGGCAAAAACACAAAAGAACAATCAAGCACACTTGCGTTATAGTTCTTCCTTCAGTCAATGTTATTCCGATGCCGACTAGCGATTCGAAGATATAAATCCGACTACTGGAAAGACGTGGCAGCAGCAAACGGACTGGGATTCTAGCCAACCAGTTAGGCCCATAAGCTGGTAAGGGTTCATTGTTAATTGTTTCATTGGTGTGTAGAGAGCAGGAGGTGAGACTCTTGTCAGCTCAGTCGATTCCGATTCAGTGCAGGTTTGACGCAACTTGCTGCGAAGCGTTATTCCTCTGGGGATCATAGCCGTTGCAGTAGGAGCAGCAGAACCCTGCGGTACTCATCAGATGACAGTCAAGCAGCCGTTTGAAACTTTCCTCTGTCGGTGCATCAGAAATGATCTCCAGTAGGCTATTCCAATCATTCACTACACGAATCGATAGGGCAGCCTAGGCTGCCGAATACTTCACGTCCGTCCAGAGCTCTGGAGGTCCGATGGACTGGCCTGCTCCCATTGGTTTTCCCTTCGCCGTCAGGTACAAGTTTCCATCGCAACGAGACTGGACCTTAACTTGGTGCGATGGTTTTTGTACCCCGTGACCCATTAGGCTACGCTGGGTGACACTTTCAGGTGCCTTCAGAGGCACTCATATCAGGCAAGTCAATGGTTATGGGTCAGACTAACTCAGTCTCACAATCGCCCCGCTGCATTGCGGGCAGGCTATTTAATCAAAGGCTCGAGATAGAGTCCCCTAAGACAACTCCCTACTTCGTCTTGGGCAACCGGGTGGTAACACACCCACTGACAAAACCATGGACTGTTCAACTGCAATATCACTCCCAGCTGCTTTTGCTCCTGCTAGTCACTCACCTTCACACGCCACCTGTTCATTTGTTGCCAGTCAGTATTATCCGTTACCAAATGCTTCTTGTTTCCATGATTCTACTCCTGATGGTTTCGTCGACACCCAGAGAGCTCGCCCAGTCGCACTCATTCGGCCTCGGTCCTCGTTCCGTCTGGCATGCTTCAATGTACGTACACTCATGCAAAGCGCGCAACAAGCTGGCCTTGCGCGCACCCTGGAATCCCTCGCCTTCGATGTTTGCTGTCTTTCCGAAATGCGCTTACAAGGTCACAGTACTGTGGTTGAGTTGAGATCTCCTACCGACCACGGAGCCATATTTCACCTGCGTCTATCTGGTGACGCAGATGCAGCTGCGATAGGCTTAACTGGCGTTGGTGTAGCTCTAAGTAGCAAAGCCGAGGTAGCACTGCTGGAATGGTTCCCGATTAATAGCCGACTGTATGCAGTTCGGCTTCGGGATCATGCAAGATAAACCGATGTCGTGAGGAGAGACGCAACTTGTTTGTGATCTCAGCTTACGCTCCAACTGACTGCAGTTCCGACTCCGTCAAGGACGATTTCTACCGTGAACTTCATCAGCTCTTGAGCAGAGCCTGCAAATCCGACATTGTTGTCCTTGCTGGGGATCTCAACGCACGGGTCGGTCGTCTGCTGGCATGCGAAAGTCACCTCGGTGGTCACCATGCGCTCGATGAGAGCCGCTCAGATAATGGAGAGAGACTTCTCACACTGTGCGAAGATAATCATCTTTTTCTCTCGAGCACCAACTTTCGGCATTCGAGGAGACGTTCCGCTACTTGGCGACCCCTTCTGCGTCTCAATCATGGTCTCAGATTGATCATATCGCAATCAGTTTCAGATGGAGGGGTAGTGTAAAGGATTGCAGATCCATCTGGTCCACTTTTCTTGACTCAGACCATGCTCTTGTCTGTGCGAACATCTGCATGAGTTTCGGAGGGTCCCCGAAAATGTTGCGCTGTAAGATAGACAAAAATAAACTATCTACTTGTTCGGTACAGCAGAGTTATCCAGCTTCCCTGGCTGGTGCACTCGGCTGGGACCCACCGCAAGATATTGATAAACACTTGATATGAATGCAGAGCAACATAATCTCTTCCGGACAGCAAGTCTGTGATCTTACTCAGAACCCTATGAGGGTCTGGATCTTAACGCGCTCCTTGGATTTATTTGACCGCCGCAGGAATATCCCAGCGGAGTCTAATCATGATGAAGTGCGCCGTTCTGTCAGTCGGTAGCTCAAACAAAGCCTATGCAGTGACCGTGAAACTTGGTGGTCCCAGCGTGCTTCGGAAATGGAGGCCGCTGCTCTCCAGTAATACTCAAACTCTCCCAGCTTATTCGATCCACTGGCCATAGAAAACCTGGGGTCAGTGAAACTATATGCGGAGCGGGTGGTTCTCCGATTGCCAACTTACAGAGACGCTTGGACCGACGGGACGAACATTTTCATTCCCAGTTCAATTGGCCCTCACCGTCCACTTATATCCCCTGTGAACCCAGTTGCCCGCCCTGGCTCGTCACACTTGATCCACCCAGCGAAGCGGAAGTCTGTCTTGCGATTTCACACCTAAGACGATCTAAGGCTGCTGGTTCAGACAGACTTCCTCCGGAGCTGTTCTAATATGGAGGCTCAGTTATCATTAGCCAGGTAACCTCATTGTTCTCCAAAATCTGACATGAAGAAAAGGTGCCTTCTTCCTGGGGCGAGTTAGTTATTGTCCGGATTTTTAAGAAGAGTGCTCGCACTTTGTGTACCAATCACCGAGGAATTAGTCTCATTTCGGTTCCTTCCAAGCTATTGGCATCCATTCTACTCCGTATACTATCTCCCATTCGCAAATCGCAATACCGGCAAGAACAAGCTGGCTTCCGACCTGGTCGTGGGTGTATGGATCAGATATTCACACTCCGTCAAATCCTGGAACACCGCCGCCTTTACCAGAGGCCTACCATCGTTGCTTTCCTGGGCATCCGTGCCGCATTCGACTCGGCTGATTGACCTGCACTATGGCGGTTGCTAAGGAACGATGTCCCATAAAAGTACACTACCATCCTACGCGCACTGTATTTCCACATCTCTGGCAGAGTGAGGGTGTATGGCAAGCTTTCGTCCTCCTTCGCTGTCAATAGCGGTGTACGACAAGGCCGCCCTGTGTCCCCGTTTCTCTTCACTTCTGCGATTGAAGATATCCTGTCTAGAGCTCTAGACGGTTGCTAAAATTTGGGCATACAGCTATTACCGGGCAAGCGAGCAACCGACTTAGATTATGCCGATGATATCGCCTTACTTGGTGTGGACTCACATAGCATGCAAGCCATTCTAGACCGCTTGTCGATTGAGGCATCTAGGTACGGAATGTGCTTTGCCCCGTCAAAGTGTAATGTGCTGCTTCAGGATTGGCACTCAACTGTTCCCGTGTCCAATCTTGAAAGTACACAGCTTGAACAAGTGGATAGCTTTGTCTACCTTGGCAGCTGTGTGTCTGCTGGTGGTGCTATTAGAAGGGAAGTTTCTCTTCGCATCGTTAAAGCTCGGTTGGCATTTGTCAATCTGCAACGTGGCGTCGCCCGGGATATCTCCCTCTTGATGAAGGGTCGTGTTTACAAATGTCACCGTTCGGGCGGTGTTGCTATATGGAAGCGACATGGCCAGCTCACGTAGACGATATGCGCCGGCTCTCGGCCTTCGACGACGGGTGCTTGAGGTGAATTGCTCGTGTGTGATGGCAACAACACCTTTGCAACAGTTAAGTCAGACGTCATGTCTTAGGGAATGCGAGTATTCCTTTCAACAAGCTGGTTTTGCTGCGCCAGTTAAGGTGGCTCGGTCATGTCCTGCGTATTTCAGCTCAGCGTTTGCCCTATCGCGCTCTGTTTGCTCGTGTAGGACTCAACTGGAAGAGACCACGTGGTGGTGCACCATCTATCTGATGACAGCAAATGAACTTGACTTCATGTCTTGCCACCATTGGATCCACACGTCTGCCTGGTTGGGGACCGAAGGACGAGGAGTGATGATGGTTGAAAACAATTCAGGCTCGTAATCGAAACCAGTGGAGGATCTGTGTAGATAACTGCTTAGATTTGGATACTTAATGCTTAGCGATTAAAAACGACAAAAAAGAATTAAGAAACGGCGTGTGCCATGTAACAGAAATATGCTCCGTTGTATTTATATTGCGGCACAATAGCTAAAGTGTGTTGCTCACCTTCAGTTAATGTTGCATGCTACTGATACGGTGTTCAGCCTGTCTTCTTTTAGTGATTTCCATGGTTATGTTTGGCTCTATGTCTATTTGATAGACTGCTGACTATAGTACTGCAGGTACAAGCTTACTCCCACAAAGACGCTTTGATCTTCTGTTTACTTTGCCTGTTTGGAAAGCTCACGATGTTTTTTCTGCACTCTAATTACCTGTGGTCTATCAGTTTGTTGTTTGTCTCGCACTCTCAGGTCGTCTCCGCATGGGCCTCAGTCTGTGATTACAACACCGTGGATCAAAATCTCATCATTGGTCATCATCCGTACTACGTTAACATGTATTTTTGCAACGGGTCCAGTGGCCACGGCGCACAGCATGCAATCGCCATTGGCAGAGCGATCTCAGAACTCCTCGTATATGGTCACTACAAAACCATCGATTTGACCCGATTCTCCTTCGACCGTTTCTATACAAAGCAGCACATTAGTGAATCATACACATTCTGACCTTGACCTCTACGGCGAGCCACTGTGAAAGCTCTGCTGCACAAACGGACCGATGTCCTCTCACTTCTTTCGCATTTATCAGAGTAGCAGTTCACCCTTCACTGCACTCCTGCTGTTTTGCGGGCTAACAAATGTTTTGAAAATGTATTTGGCTGAGATAAAAGCGCCCTGTTTTCACACACGCATCACTTTTTATCACCTAAATGCTCGCTTTGATTACACTGCATTTTGAGTGTCAACTAAGAAGTTTTAACCAGCACGTGCTCTGTAGAGATCCGACCAGGTCGATTTTCCCTTTGTGCGTATATCAATCGCGAATCTCTTGGTAGCTTAAAACCTTGTTTACCTGCATCTCTCTTCAAATCCATTCGATGCAACCGCGTCCTTATATTTGCACCGAACCAGAAAGGAATTCCCGTTACGTTCACTACTGCTGTAACTCCAATCGTGTAACACTTCGCCCCTATTCTGAAATATTCACTCCGTTCAGTGAGCCCATTTGCAACACTGCTCGTCTCTACCTAAGCCACCGGCAACGTCATTTTCAATTCTGAAACCTCCGATGCTGGGAGACTGGTACTTTAGAAACCTGAGTTTACCAGAACGAGGGCTGTTAGGGCTACCGAATCCCCCTTTCTTCTCTACCATCATGTACTTCACTTCTCCCGGATCAACAATAACCAGGCATCCGGCTACCACACTTTGATGATGCGTACGATACGGGTTTCTTGGAGAAGAACCGAACGCCTGCATAGATGCAAATAGCACGTTTTAACATGCGCTATTTTTATCTACCCCTGTAGCGCAAGGCAATGGGGTAATCGGTTTCAAATTGACTTAGATATCGGAACTTACGGAGTTTTCGCTTTATCAGCTGTGACAAACCCACGTGAAACTTCAAGTTCCTCATAGCTTCTAATGCTTCGCTTGAGAAATCGTGCTTCTGGGGGCCAACCCCGTTTTTTGCAGAACAGCAATATGCATTGCAGTGGAGGATGAGTCTCTGTATTAGTTAATAACTCAGTCGCGTAAGACGTCGCCGCCACCCACTACCCGATGACAAACCGTTGGATACGATTTGAACGGCAGTGACTCTGAATTCGAGAAAATTATGCGCTATTGATGAACTTAACTAGAACGAAACGGCGTTCCAGCACTTTTTGGCTGTGAAGAAGCCATTTGCACTGAGAGTTGCGCTCGACTCGTAGTGGTCGATGGTTTACGCCTTGATCACTAAGCCAGAGCTTGTTGGACCCAACAATGAACTTCTTGTATCTGCTATGTCGGGCGCTACGCTCTGAGCCCTGACCTAGTGAGCAAGGCGTTAGCTTTCAACCACTATGAATCCGGTTCTATCCTCAACTTAGGACGAAACTGGCCGGTCGTAGAGTGCAACGTTGTGAAAGTGCCGCTCCGAAACTCTCCACTTCTGATGCGGGTCCAGCAGTAGTCGAGATGTCAGATGTTTACTTCATGGTGAACCGTGGCCCCGATTGAAATCATGTATCACAATCCAGTCCCACGGTGTACACTCCAATAGCCAATAAACCACTTGTGCTTTTTTCATGTTTGGTCACACGATCCCCCGAAAGTACGCCCGCTCGACACAATGCAACACGCAGGTTTCAGTGTGCGCCTTCATCTAATGAAATTCTTACCTTATTTACTTAGATTAACTGTGATACAGCTCTGAGAGTGCACAACTGCCTTACTGAAGAACGGTCTTTTTTGTGAGCTCGCCGTCCATTCACCGGGGTCAGTCTGTTTGGACGGTGGTCTTCTTCTGCTATACCGTGGCTAAGATCCCTAGTGCTAATCGGTCATTACTTGTACTCTGTTCAGGTACGCCTGGGAAAAAACTTCGAAGCCGATATTTCGTTAATGTAACTGCCGCGGCACAACTAGTCACCTATTACTTGTCTAGGCTCAGGCTTATACTCTGTCATGTGGCCGCTTTAAAAGATGTATGGACATTAAGGTAAAAGTGAAATTTCTAATGCGGACTCGTATTGGTTAATGTTGGACGTCTCGACGGTGAAGTTTATTGCTCGATCAAATTGACTTCCAAAGATCGTGGGGCAGCTGGGTGTCATCACATTTAGGACCACGCGATAAGTATGCAGCATAATCTGGGTTGATTGCGTCAGGTGAGTAGACGCCGTCTTCACTTAGATTTATCCAGTCTGAACCTTCGTGCAACCCGGACTTGCGGATGGCGTATACATCACCTAATTTGATTATGAATGAACAAGTGTGTTATTTAGTGCATTACAGTGATGTTTCCGGGGGAGAAATGATCTATTTTTCTCCTGTTTGGAAGATCTATCAGTGAACGCTGGCTTTGGCCTGATAATCTCATCAGAACGAGTCACCCTGGATGTTAGGTTTGTTGTGACCTCACTATCGCAATCCTAGATTCCATGTTTCACAGCTGTACTCCAGCACGCGTCCCATGAAGCACCACCGAAGCTTTCCATTCCAGTCTCTTAAATGGTCCCCGGATTGAGCTGTGAACGTGCGCTGTTCACTTCGCGGCTGTGCTACCGCTATGCTGATGAGTGATCGGCTTTCACCCAGACGTTACGTGTTACGAATAAGACATTTGTTTCCATCTTGTTCTGCGATTGGATAACTATCCCTTTCCACAAGGCTGTGCGTTCGCAGCCATCTCGCTCCGCGCAAATGCGACTCTATCATCAGCTATGAGCTCCGCAGTGACACCGCCCATTATAGGATTATTCGACGATAGGGTTGGCAAACCACAGGCTTGACCGATCGTTGTAGCTGATAAACGCTCAAGAACGTAGTTACGATGCGAAACGTGAATGGCACTTGTTTTAAAGGCGAACGTGAACCTCTTTCCGGTCTTGTAGCTTGTGTGCGCCAGAAAGAGTATTCGGTCCATTTCACCTTGTACTTCATTATTTGGCACTTTTGGGTCTCCTGGAGCGCACTAGTCAACTGTTTGCCATATGTGGATGATGTGTTTGTCACCCAGTGGTCTTTGTTAGGAGCACGCCTATGCTACTCTACTGATTAGTACGCTCCAAGGAGCACGGTGTAGTGCACTCTTCATGCCCAAGTGAACAAATGTTTACGCTCATCTTGACTTTAAGTAGTGTAAATCAAAAGTTTCATTGACCAGATTTGTCGAAAGGAACTCATAAGATGCCACGCCAATCGTTTTCATGATGCGAATGCATTACTATATGCTGCATGAAACGGAGATCTAGAGCAGTATGTGGACTTCCTCTTGCAAGTACTGCGTGACAAGCGAAGTGCTTCGAGGTTAAAGTTTTATTTTTACTCAAGCAGACTAAACAGTTTTCCGAGAACTTCAGGGGAGACGTGCGTTCCTGATGAGCCCCAGTGGGAGGAAGCAACTGTCCAAAACTTTTTCAGGACAGTGGCCGTATAAATAAGTCCAGCTGTGACGAGGTTCCTCGACTGCCCCTACTATTCAACATCATGTCCAAGTCCCCGTCTCGAAGTCCTTTGCCCCGATCGAAGGTCGGTGTCGTCCATGTCACGCGACACAACCTTTACTCCGCTCAACAAGCTTTCGTTTCACTAACTCTAAGTGCGCTGTCGCTTCCATCTGTTACCAACAGGTTACTTGTATCCCAAACACAACTCTATGCACATAGGGGGACTTAAAGCAGTGAGGTGGCTAGACATTCCTAGATCTAAACATCGGATTGTCCTGATCAAGCAAGATGTGTTGTGTGCTGCGGAATGGTTGCGAGGCTAGACGGGCTCAGTGGCTTTCGGCTTGAGGTGGCGAATATAGATAGCTTCCGCAATAGATAGGCAACGCTCCCGGAATCCGCGCGAGAAACGCTCAGGAATAGTGTAAATGACGCTAAAGTCGTTTCCCGTTCCTGTGTGACCGCGACGTAAGTCTTTCCAACAGCGTCCAAACGCCTGAAAGACACTGGAAAAGGTTTATTTCGCGGTCCGCGCACGCATAGTATACCACAACAAGCCTTTATTCGCAAAATCCTTGAGAAACAGGCATTGACTCCATCAATGCTTGTTTATCAGTACTCGTGTTCCTGTGGTGCACGATATGTGGGTCGTACTACGAGACACCTATCTCATAGGAATCGCGGACACGTTCCGAAGTGGGAATATAGAGGCGAAGCGAGGTCTTGTAACAGCTACATCATCTCACACCTCTTAGAGTGCGGTCAGGCAGGAACGGAAAACGACTTCAGCGTCATTTATACTATTCCTGAGCGTTACTCGCGCGGATTCTGGAATCATCTATCTATTGCGGAGATCATCTTTACCGCCACCTCAAGCCGATGTTGTACGTCTAAAAAAAGTTTGCACGCCCTTTACTTCTATCAGTGTCTTTCCTTTCAGCCTTTACTTGTAGGTGGCCATTTACGGCTTGCGTGTCCATGCAGCGGCACAGTTAGTGTTGAAGCAGGAGTATATAAATAAATAAACGTTTGTTCTGTGAAGTGCTAGACAAGCTCACCAAGGCATGCTAAGCGAACTGCGGTCTTGTACAAAATACCGAACACATTGTGGTTAGGATAGCTAACCGGTTTTTGGCATAGAGATAGAAATGAAATGCACTGTATTAAAATCAGGAATTTAGTTTAAAGAATAAATTAACTGTGGATGTCGATGAGAGGATAAGTTTATAATTGTAGTAATCGGGCACAAGAGTCCGACAGATTCGAGACAGAGGGAAGTATGGTATGAGGGAGCAAAAGAAGTAATAGGGTCATCCGTGGGACTATCTCCTTGGGACCTGCTTCCACAAGGGTCGGTCCCTCGAAAGGTTTCACCCGCATCTGGTCGTGTGTCGGTGTGGCTTAAAGGCAGGCTAGCCATCACCGATTTTGGTTATCATTCGGGCTTCTTTTTTCGTAAGCTGGCCATCCCTTCCGTCATTCATTGTGTTTTTCTGTGTGCATGATGACCGAATTCGCCGGAATCGGCGGCGTATACCACTAAGTGTGAATTCAAGTCAGGAGTGTACCGTTATTTGTTCAGCACCCTTTTTATATCCACCAGTCGGTCTTTGGCTATCCGTCTTGTGTGGGTAAGCATTCTGCTGGGAGGTTTTAAATCATCACGTCAGGCGATGGGTCTAGTTATGACCAAAAAAGAACAAATAAACAATAGGATATAATGAAGTAAAACAAAATAAGAGCATATAACGAGCAATGAACTAATTAAACAACCAGTCTGTCTCGCGACCTTGCAAGGTGCCATCATATCGGCTGGTGTGATAGATCTTTAAGGAAATTAAGAAAAACCGGTCTCAACTTATTGATGGGTTAGCTCCTACTTTAAAAATGCACTTGAATTTGGGAATTGTCAGGTTGCCATGGCCGAGCAGAGTAGTGAAAGCATACGAAAGAGGTAAAAGACACGGTTTTTTCTCTTCAC